TCTTGAAATCTGATTCGTAGTTTAGGCAATATGCGCCACAGTTGCGCCACAAACCTGGCACACATTTCAGACGTGCATATGTTACACGGCATCATTTAGTTCGGACTATCAAGGTTCGGATTTGGGAGGTCTTAGTGTAAGCCGATTCTGATTGGACAATTTGTATGATGTCATACCCGACAGTTACAAACGTAAACATTCACTTTAACTTTACGAAGTAAATTATCGATGCACGCCTTATGCACATTTCATTCTGGACTTTTTAAACAATAGAAATGTCTTCAAGCAATCCGAGATTAAGTAAACTTCCTGTTCATATTAATGTCCTTAATTCTCCGCGTAAAATACGATCTGCCACTGCTTCTTCCGCAAAAAAACTCGCTAGTATTTCTACTTCTGGTAATAAGATTTTTAGTTCTGCTAACAACAACACTTCATTAAAGAAAAATGAGTCTTTAAAGAGAAAAAACAACGATTCCGCAAAAGAAAATGGCAGAAATGTAAAAAAGGTGCCGTTTGATTCTGACTATTCAGCACGTGTTCCTTTGAAAAAAACCTCAACTACGCGCGGACGAATACAATATCCACCTCCCCCCGCTCCTTTGCCAAAACCACCTTCCCAAATTGACCTCCTAAGAGACGAAAATTCTAAACTCAAAAAACAATTTGAAGAGCTACATAAAGAAAAAACTGAGATATCTGCTGAGAGCACACAACTTCAGAATGAAATTCAAGAGGAAGAACGTATTGAAAAAGAATACATATCAGATATTGACCGGATGAAAAAGCGTGTAGCAAATGAAGAGGCTCATGTCAAGGAAATTGAAGACAGCATTGCGATTCTTCAACGAAATCGTAATGTCATGGTAGAAAACAATTCTAAATTAACTTCGGAAATGAGAGCTTATAGAAATGAATTGGAAAAGGCAAACGAAAGTATTGCCGAACAAAACAAGAAGATCATAAATAACACAAATCAAATTCAGGAGTTTACTTCTAAATTACAAGAATATGAGCGTCTTCGTCGAAAACTTCATAATGATGTTCAAGATCTTAAAGGAAATATACGTGTTTTCTGTCGCGTTCGTCCATTACTAGAGTCAGAAACGCAAAATATCGCCAATTTCAAATTTCCAAAAGAAATACCATTCAATAGAAAAATCTCCCTTGTATCAACCAAGACAAATTATTTAGGTGAAAAAAAAGAATCCCTTAAAGAATATCAGTTTGACCAGGTGTTTGATACTTTAGCAACACAGAAAGACATTTTTTCTGAGGTCGCACACATCGTTCAATCGGTTGTAGATGGTTATAACGGTTGCATTTTTGCATATGGCCAAACTGGGGCTGGCAAGACATACACAATGACAGGCCCTGTTAATGCAACCCCTGAAACCGAAGGGATGATCCCTCGAGCGGTCCGCTTAATTTATGAACTCATTCAAGATTTAAAGACGCAGTGCTGGAAATTTACATTGGAGGGACAGTTCATAGAGATATACAATGATAACATCCGGGACTTACTTGTTACTGATCCGTCTAGTACAAATGGCGTTAAGCATAAAACAATTCATGATGAACGGACTGGCACAACAAGAATTTCAAAAGCCACTACTGGTATGTTATTAGTTTTATATTAGAGTTCAGTTAGATACTATTGAAACATATCGAGTACATGCATAGGTACTATGTTTTAATAGTATTGAACTCGGCATATTCAATTTCACATAAACGATTTCGTTTTTACATGATTTTTATATTTCTTTTGAATAGTGGACCTTGATTGTTCTAATACACTCAATCAAGCATTAAAAACTGCAGCACATAATCGAGCGGTTGCAGCGACAAAATGTAACGCTCATTCTTCACGCAGTCATAGCGTATTCATGATTCGGTTAAAGGGAACAAATGACAACTCAAATGAAACTAGAATTGGTTCGTTGAATTTAATAGACCTGGCGGGATCAGAGCGACTCTCAAAATCCGAATCTAAGGGTGATCAATTGCAAGAGGCAAAGCATATCAATTCCAGTTTGAGTCATCTTAAAACTGTGATTCAAGGAATTAGGAAAGATTCTTGCCATGTAAATTTTCGTGATTCAACATTAACATGGCTGTTAAAAAACTCTCTCGGTAATTAATTGATTTAAAAAGAAACATACATTTGTTGATTCAAGTAATACATATTTATTAATATACATTTATTCATCATTAGGCGGTAACGCTAAAGTTCTTATGCTGGTTAATCTTTCACCTTTGGAATCATCACTATCAGAAACTGAAAGTAGCCTTGAGTTCGCGCGGATGGTAAATTCTGCACATGTGGGAACTGCTCACAAGAATTGAATTCTGATATATATATATATAAACATATATATATATATATATATGTAGCCCTGTTTTAAGAGCATTAAGTTTATGTTCTTAAATTTTTATTGTTAAAATAAAAAAATTTTTTGTTCGAAATGTTCAAAATACGGTATTTATTGTTTAATACTGTAATTTATGATGCTGGATGTTTATACTCGACAGTAATGTGATCGTGTTTGGGACATCTTTTAAACGCATCACTTATCATAAGAGTGATAAGCTGATGAGTTTTGAAGCTTATGTAATATTGTAACGTATATAAACATCGTCAAATTTCATATTACTTTAACTTTTTATGCAGGTGCTTTTTTTAATACCGACTATATAGTGCTTTTATTGCTTTATAAAATTACTATATAGTCAATTTTAAAAAAAAACCACCTGTATAAAAAGGTATATAATTTGAAAATCTAAAACAAGTTATATGAATGGATATAGTATAAACCACCAAAACCATTATTTTGTTGTTATTCTTGGTAACACCAGTCGCTTATGCACATATTCAACTCTCATATGTTATACGTACTGTATCATAGTTACTACTTTTTTACAGTTTTGCTAAAATTTACTATAGCACAGTTTCATATTAAATAATGTAGGAATTAACAAGTATACAATATCGATTAATCATATGCTCCAATTTTTGGAATTGTACTAAACAAATATAAATTTGACATTTTATAGCTAATAACTTTGATCTACTGGTTCGTTTTTAATGAAACAACACCAAAATGTTCGTCTCAATGAGACGATTTTGGTCTTGTTGGAATCGTCTCATTGAGACGAACATTTTGGTGTTGTTTCATTAAAAACGGACTAGTAAATCAAAAGTTATTAGCTATTAAAGAAAATGTCAAATTTATATCTGTTTAGTACAATTCCAAAAATTGGAGCATATGTAATAGGTAAGATTTTAGCATATTTAAAATAAGATTGATGTCAACTTTTTTAATTGATTCAAGTACAGTATTTTTATACCCAAAATGCAATATTATTTAAAGAGATTTTTAGTATAAGAGAGCGAAGTGAAGCAGAGGCGTCACCGCTATCTGAAAATTCTACGATATAACTAAATTATGTGAACGTGTTTTGCACTATATAAATTGGAAATTAAAAAGATGAGATTATTTAAAAATTTTATACAGGTTTGAAAATGTTTCAATTATTTTGTATAAATTTACATAAGCAAATTAACATTTCGAAAATTTATCACTACATAATTGAGTACTGTTCATAACAGTCATTTTAATAAAAAGATATCGCATACTTTCATTTAGATATATTCATCAACGCTAAATATACTAAAATAACTTTTATTTATCAATTTTTCTTAGAGTTCCGAACCGGATGTAAAATTGTCACCCGGATCATCTGTATAATCTGAAATCGGGTGAACCGGTTGAAAAAGGTTGGAATAATCGTGACGGCGAGAATTATGAATCGAATCTGA